CCCGTGTTGGGGCCCAGAACCCTGTTACACGATCATCGAGGCGTAAGTGTGGACCCGGGTCTTCGTCCTACGTGTCGAGCACCTGTGCGCTGCCACGTTGACGCGTGAGAAATAACGGCTGTCCGAATCTGACCCTTGATTCGTGGGTTATCCGTTTCTGAGCGTTGGATACTGATTGCGTCTCGTCCTCATCAGCGGGTGCCTACTGTTCTTCCCTGTGGGCCCCACGATGGGACGGAGCATTCGACGTGGTCACGTGGCCGTTACGGTAACGGTTCCTCTGCCCTGGCTTATTTGCTCCGCGCCGCCCTTGGATAGTTAAGTTCGGTCGGAGCGGTCAAACTTCATTATTGATCTTTAAATCACAGTGAAACAAAATAATTTTAAGATTAATTAGTGTACGGACTGTAAACTTGAAATCAATGTACTTGAATAGACTATTTTATTGATAATTTATTCTCGGTGATTTTAATAATGTTACTTGGTAATAATTTGTACGTCAACTCGGTTTTAATTTGATTTATACCAATAAAACAAATTAAATTTAAAATTTCATCAGATTAGAATTAACATATGACCTAATTCGTCAAACTAAACTATAGGGAACCTATAATTTAATTTAAAGACACAAATTTCATCACAATATAAGTTTGTTTTATTTGAGGAATAGTTGAAGTGTTCTTATAGCCATGTGTGCATGAGTGCATTATTGTACATCATTAGTTCTTTCTTTTTTTTTAAATCCAACTCTCACTCTTAAAATTAATGTATAATACAGTTTACTGTGTTGACGGTACCTTTAAAATGTCTATTACTCGATCACAACACTAATATTAGATCGTTTTGTCTATTTTAAGACGAAAGTATTGAATAGTAAATAATCTCTATTGATTGGAGGGCACTAAATCATAAGAGACACGATTAAAATTTTCTGTTTATTTACTAATCATTTTCATAGAATGGCTCAAAACATTCTTTCATGTGGTTATCTTAAAAAGTTTATTTTGTTGCTTGTTTTTTAAAGAAAAGTAAAATAAAATTACTGTAGGAGACACGATTAAAATTTTCTGTTTATTTACTAATCATTTTCATAGAATGGCTCAAAACATTCTTTCATGTGGTTATCTTAAAAAGTTTATTTTGTTGCTTGTTTTTTAAAGAAAAGTAAAATAAAATTACTGTAG